CTGGGACTGGGGCGGAATCGCTGCCCTTTGGCTCCGCCTTGCCCGATCCCGGCCCCGGCCCCGACGCAGGCTCCGGTCCCGACCCCAGCTCCGGTCCCGACCCCAGCCCTGGCCCCGGCCCCGACCCCGGCCCCGACCCCGGCTCCTCCCGGGGCCCGCGGAGGACACAGACGGCGCGGCCGCTGTCGCCGCCTCCGCTGCGGCTTCCCCGGCCCGAGCTCCGCCGCTCAGCAGCGCGGCCGCTGGCCCCGAGCCGCCGCTGCCGCGTTCCAATGAGGGAACGCCTGCGGATGCCCGGCCCGGGGAGCTCGGGGAGCGCTCGGGGGCCGTTCCTGTCCCCGGGCCGAGCGCTGATGGCCGCGACTCGCCCCCAGGGAAGGCGCAGGAGGCCCTGCAGCAGCGCTACGAGCTGGGCCCGCTGCTGGGGCGCGGCGGCTTCGGCAGCGTCTTCGCGGCCACGCGACTCTCGGACGGCGCCCCGGTGAGCGGTGGGCAGAGGAGGAGGAGGAGGAGGGGGCGGAGGAGATGGCGGGGGCGCGGCGGGGCGGGCAGCGAGCTCAAGCCTCTGCTGCTCCTTGCTCGCAGGTGGCCATCAAATGTGTGCCGCGGGATCGCGTCCGGCTCTGGGGCGAGCTGGTGAGTGTGCGGGGCCAGCGGCAGAAGCCGGGGCGTGCCGGGCAGGGATGAGCCGGGGCCCGGCGGGGTGGGAGCCGCCGAGAGCCCTGCGGGGAGAGCGGGCGTGGGGTGAGCGAGGTGTGCAGAGCATCCCGGGCTGGCTGAGGGGTCCCAGAGCCCTGGCCCGGCCTCAGCCCCACTGACAGCACCGTGCTCCTCCCGCAGCCCGACGGCACCCGTGCTCCCATGGAGATTGTGCTGCTGGACAGGGTGTCCTCTGGCTGTGCTGCAGTCATTCAGCTGCTGGAGTGGCTTGAGCTCCCCGACAGCTTCGTGTTAGTGTTGGAGCGTCCACAGCGGTGCCAGGACCTCTCGCATTTGCTGGCGGAGCGGAGGTTCCTGCCAGAGGAGGAGGCGCGGGGGCTCTTTCGCCAGGTGCTGGAGGCCGTGCAGCACTGCAGCAGCTGCGGGGTCCTGCACAGGGACATAAAACCGGAGAACATCCTGCTCGACCTGGCCACTGGGCAGCTGAAATTGATCGACTTTGGCTGTGGCGCCTTCCTGCAAGACACAGCCTACACCCAGTTTGCAGGTGAGCCCTCGCAGGGGATGCTCCTGGCCATCTCATGGCCCAGCCTGGCTGTGGCACCGGGGATTTCCCGTGGTGCTGCCAGGATGGGTTCAATGCTTGAGCCAAATTGATTTGGATGGGGGTGTGAAGGGGGCCAGCTCCCAGCCCTGCCAAGAGCCTTCAGCACCCACTGTGCCCTGGGCTGGGGCTGGGACAGCCAGCCTGACAAAAACCCCCATGGGGGTAGCAGAGGGCGGGGGTCTGACCCCATGCCCCAGAGAGTTTAGTGAGTCAGTGAGGAAGGGCTTGAACTCCTCTGCTCCCCACGTTTGCCTTGGATTATTAACAATTTTTTGGAGGCCATGCAGGCAGGGAGGAGAGTGTGTTTTCTCTACCATGGGGTGGGTTTTTATTTGCTTGTCATGGTTGGGCCTCCCCAGTGCTTCTGCTGCCCTCTTCCAGCAGCAGTGGCTTCTTTTCCAACCCTGGGTTTGTAGCCAAGTGCCAGGTGCTGGCAAGAGGGCAGTGGGTCACCCCGTGTGCCGCTGGGGCAGCCCCCACATGCCCAGGGATGCTGGGGCCAGGCTCTGGGAGCAGCAGCATCCCCCTGATGAGCTCCATCTGTGTTCCACAGGAACCCTGTCCTACAGCCCACCAGAGTGGATCCACCAGCAACGCTACCATGGCCAGGCAGCAACAATCTGGTCCCTGGGCCTCCTGCTCTACCAGCTGGTCATAGGGAAGCACCCATTCATGAGGGGCCAGCAGATCATCTGGGGGCGGATCTTGTTCCCACGACGGCTCTCCCAAGGTGAATCCTCATCTCTGGGCACAGGGGGAACACCAGGCTTGGGAGACAGCAGTGGGCTCATGAGCATCCTGCTCTGGCAGCTGCTGAGGAGGTGGCACATGTCCTGCTCTCCTGCAAACAGGGAATCCATGGGGAAGTTGAGGCCCAGCTCTGGGCACACCCAGCATGGCCTGGGCACTGGAAGGGGGCGGCAACTTCTCCAACTGACTGGTGATTCCTGGTTTCTCTCTTCAGAATGCCAAGATATTATTAAGAGGTGTTTGTCCATGCAACCCTCGGACAGGCCATCCTTAGAAGACCTTTTCCGCGATCCTTGGATGCAGGCTGTTCATCTGCCCTAGGAGATGGGAGAGATCCACATGCACAGTTGGATCCAGGGGCCTGGCAGGTAACAGCTCCACACATTTCTTGGCAATCGGTGGCAAAGCAAACCAGGCTGTTTTTGTCCTGCCTGTAGCTCTGAGCAGGGGTCATCAGAAGGGAACACAGCTCTTGGGCTGGAGCTGAGCTGGACACCTGGTGTGGCAAGCACTGGTGGCCACCATTCCCCCTGCTTTTGCTTGTTTGCTTCACTGATGGCTGGGACCCTGGGCAGAGCACTGACAGCCTGGTCTGGCCCCTAGGCAAGGAGAAGGAGCCCCTGGAGAAGCTGTTACCAGCTGGGGCTGCTGCTGGAGACACCAAGGGCAACCTCAAGGATGGCAATCTCTTCCTCCAGCTGGCCAGCTGAAGATGATGGATTTCAATTCTGGCATGTCTTCTTCAAAGACTTGGTCCACGCCCAATTTGCAGGTGAGTCCACAGCCAGGGGATGCTCCCAGATCTGGGCATGGCACAGCCTGGCCAGGCACCAAAGGTTCCCCCCTTGGCTGGGGTGGATGCAACCAATTCTTCAGTTGGCTGCCAAGCTGCTTTTTGTCTCTGGACAGCTGCTGAGGGGCTGGGTCTGCCGTGGCTGGCTGCAGGCTGGGCACATGGCCTGCCCTCCTGCTCTGCTCCCAAAGGCAGCAGTGATGGGCAGCTTTGGGCCCAGCTCTGAGCACGGCCAGCATGGCCTGGGCACTGCGGGTGGCTGGGACAAGGGGACAGGAGCCTTCAGCTGACGGGCGGTTTCTGGTTTCTCTCCTTGCAGCCGGGCTCTGCGGATGCTGAGGCTG